GGTTGGACCCAAGGGCCCAGGGCCACCTGGAGCCTCCTGGCCTGGGCTCTCCGAGAGGGGGCCAGTGTCACAGCCGGAGGGAAGGGAGGCCCGAGCTCTTGCTGCGGAGCTGGTGTTCATAGAGGTGAGTTATACAGGGAGAACGAGCAGAGGCCCGTACTATTTCATGTGCTCACCCATCGGTATCCATCACCTCTTGCCTTATGCTAGTTATCCTTACAGCACGGGTCAGCATCTGTTTGTACGGTCCCTAACACAGCCCCATCCGTAGCTCCTAGTAGTCACTGCAGTACTGTTCTTAGCTCATCCTGTTCACCTTTGCTTCTGCACACGTTTGTGCTGATCTTTCCCTTGTCTGACTTCAAGGGGGCTGCTTTCAGCCCTACAGGTGCCATGGCAGCATCCTAGGAGGCTGAGACTGGGCATGAATCTCAGGTAGCAGCAGCAGAAATCCTGAACACAGCTGGGGCTCTTAGACAGAGACATTGCAAAAATTAGGTAGCAGGATCCCTTGTCTGTGACCCTCCACAGCCTGGCTCCCCTCCCACTTCGCTACCTGGAACAGAAATCCCAGAGGCTGTGTAATTAACGGAGAGTCCAATTCTTTTGGATTTGTGCCCAAGTTTTACTATAGAAACAGCATTTTATTCAGAAACCTCTCAGGGCTATTGCAAGTCCATGTACAATCCTGACACCACCACTTATTGAGCTCTTGTGTTTCGTTATCACTCAGGCATGACCGACTGCTCTTCTTCCGCTCATCTGTATCTCCTGGGGCAGCAGCATCCCTCCACAAGCATGAACCTGCTCTATTAGGTTTTGAGCAAGCTGCAAGAGCTGTGGGGCTGTGGCAGCTTCCCCACTGCCCCACAGCACCGGCTGCATGTCCAGAGCCAACATGAGGAATTTCATGGCCCTGGCTCCCAGAACACAGCTCAGCCCTACCAGGTTGAGTGCTAGAATATAAGAAAAAGGGGGTTTCCTTGTAAGGTAGTGATACATGGCAAAACTGTCCTGCTCATGAAAGCAGAGCTGAGAGAGTCTGGAGAGCATTTTGTAGGTGATAGCCAGGGAGGCAAGATGCGATGAGAGCCAGGCTTGTGGCCTTGGTGACAGCAGAGGGCACGCTTTGCTGGTACAGCACTGAATGTGCAGCCTGTGCACACAGTCCCAGGCATGGCTGGACTGCTCTGGATCTGTGGACCGAGCTGGAAACGTGGGGGTAAGGAAGCAGTCACAGGAATTCAATGCAATTCAATCGTCTGCAAAGCCACATGCCCTGCAGCGCTGCGGCAGAAAGAAAGGAACAGAATCGCCTTCACCGCAGCCGAGCGGATGATGGATTTATCTGGCTGGGGAATGAGCGTAAAAAAATTCAGAGCACACTGATCCCATAGAGGAGCGGGGGGAGGGGGGACTGGGAAATCAATCTGCAACTTATTCTCTGCTCCATGCCTGTGCCAGAGTCATAAGGATGTCTGGAAGTCTGCCCTTATCCCTTCCCCAGGAGCCCTCAGAAGGAGACAGTCCAAAGATGTATGGAGCAGATCGACTCCCTTTCTCCACTCCCTCATTGCTGGTTCCTTCAGGTCAGCACAAGATGGTTTTCTGAACCAAGGCACATGTTTTCCTCTTCGTTTAAATGGTATTTTTCCTTTAGGTTTTCCTTGGAATGAAATGTCAAAACTTTTCAGATGGAGAACATCAGAGTGATTCTCCCAAATACCACCTGAGATCACAAAGAGCTTTCGTCCATTCAACATTTTATCCATCAACAAGGCTCAGACCTGATGGGAACTCAGTTTCTCTCCTTTAAACAGGCTGAGATGTTTCTAGGGGAACATTCCCACTAAAGCCCTGGCGCTGGTTCTGCCTCCACTAGCCTCACAACCTCAGCCGAATTCCAAGAGGGGAAAAACAGCCAAGGTGGATGTCAGAGCCTTCCTGAGGCTGCTCTGGCTCAAGAGCCACGTGATCTCCTGATGGTGCACAGAACCAGAGAGCGGAAAATGAGCACACCCTTGCTTTCCTCAGGTAAGCGCCTGAAATTCAGTGAGACAAATCCAAGACATTTCCCTGCAGTAATACTTTTCCTTTTGCTAGAGGACGCCGGTGCCAACTCCTCCAGCCTCCCCCAAGCAGGGGTGGGGAGCAGGGGGACAGCCACTCAGCTCCAGTGCTGCACAGAAAGGTGGGGTCAGACCCAACCTGGTCTTCCAAACCTTGTCCCCCTGTGGCTGGAAGAGCCACAGTAGCCAGAGTGACCATCAAAACCTGAGATCCCCAGTGTGACTGAGGGTCTGTGCTTGCCTGCAACTTGACTGTAGGGAGCACATCTCCAACTGCAGCAACATTGCTCCTAGCCCAAAGCCCTGTTGGGCACTATTGCTCTGCAGCAGGATGCCCTGCACTGGCAGATGGCCAGGGACAGTTGGCAGGGCACGGATGGGGTGGATAGATGTTTAAACAAAAAACAAAGGGTGGGTGAAGACAGGGCCTAACAAGGAACACCTCTGGGCTGAAAGTCTTTAGTAGGGATGAACTCATGCACACAGAGGTGCTGCAGGTAGTTGGGGATGAGCAGTCTGGCCTCTTAAAACCCCTTCAGGACTCAAGTCTGATATCTTCCCCACTTTTATGCCAACATGACCATACCAGTTTCCTAAAAGCAGCCCTGCTGGCCCACCCAGAACCCATCCATCTCAGACTGAGCTCTGCACCTCTGCAAAATCCCCTTAAATGTGTCTGAGTCTTGCTGGCCCCACAAAAAGTTGTCAGGAAACAAGAAAGATGGGGAACTCATCAAGGGGGTTGTTCCTGCACTGTGCCAACTCCTGCAGCTCCCATCTCCATGTTGGTGTACAGATGGGTCCTAATGGTGCTGAAATGTAGCACAGTTTTCCATCCCATGCAGCAGTCCAAAGCTGCACTCTAGCCCATTGCTATACCCTGGGAAATACAGACACTGAACTGATCCCTGCAGCAGGGCAGTGCAAATCCATAGCTGTGGCAGCTCAAGGAGCTGGTAGCCATTCCTCCCCACTCAGGAGTGATGGGGGTTACCAGTGTCCCCTCCCCTTTGGGGTGACAAGCTGAATGGGAAAAGGGTGACAGGCTGGACAGTTATCTACTGTGTGAAGTGGCAGGGGACATTAGGTAATGGCTTCCAATAGCCACAGGGGAGTCTGGAATAACCCAGCGCTGCCTCCCATTTCCATCTCTGCTCCTGCCCAATACGGCACCCAAGCAGGCTGCTCTGCACTGGGCTGCGGGAGCTGGGATGAGCTGCTGGGGAGTTGGGACCCTTTGCAAAGATGGTCCAGGCTGGCACTGCAGTGTGCCACAGCTGGGTTGTGCTGTGCCAAGGATGAGAGCCTGGGGGCTACAAAAGAATTCTATTCCCAGTGCAAGCAAACTGGGAGAGCCCAGCTTGCTGCCACTGGTACGGCTGGGAGAAGTGGGGAAATTACTGTTGCTGGGAGAAACCATCCCTAGGAAATCTCTCTTGAATGCAGGCAAGAGGGCCAGGATAGGTTTGCTGCCCTGGCATCTGCTGCCTTGGCCATTTGCCATGCCCAGGACTGGCTCCGCTTCTTTGACTGCAGGAAGAGAGAGATGCTGGTCCAGCTGCTAGCACAGGGACATGGTGGAGAGAGAAGCTCTAGGAGTCATGGCCCTTGGAGCCAATCTGCTCTTTTTGGATCCAAATCACTCCTGTTGGCCTTGGCAGGAGGCTGTGTCCTGTGCCTGAAACAAGGGAATGTGTTTGAACCAGAGCAGGGGCAGACTCCTCTCTACCAGTTCCCCCAAAGCAACACCAGTGCTAGAAGACAGATGGGGTCCCAGGAGTGCAAAGCTTGGCCTCGTTCAGGTCAGGCAGCTGGGGAAACCTGGCTGTAAAAGCAGCACAAGTCAATCCAACTCACAGGGTCTCCTGGGCTACAAGTGAAAGCTTCTTCTCTCATGGGTGTCATTCATTTTGCACCATGATTTGGGGACGACACAGAGGATGAAGGCTATGAGTGGCTGCAGATGCCTGTACAAAGGAAAGGAAGGCAGCCCCAGTTCAGCCCAGAGGTCTGCCTGGTCTGGAACCAGCAACCAGCACCAATTCATCTTGCTGGACTGTAAAGCAGAGCAGGAACACCTCGGTTCATGCTTCATGCTCCCAGGTCAGCCTCAGCAAACCCAGCCAGCAGCACCAGGATTGAAGCGGGTAAGGGACATTAATTCAACATGAAACAAAACATCCTTTTAGAGGTTTCTGGAGACCTTTGTGCAGTACTTGGGTCCTTGTCCCCACAAGCCTTTGACTTTCCTCAGCTGGAAATTGAGACAGGAGAGCCCCTTATACCCCTTTTCTGGGTGGTAGCAGAGCCTCTTCCTTGCACATTGTGCTCTGCTCCTGCCAGCTGGGAGATAGCTGAAGAGGCCCGTCCTTCGGGGTGACAGGGCCTTGCCCAGTGTGGGCATCAGCCAGCTCACGGGGACAGGCGTGGGGGAGACAGGAGTGGGGGAGACTGACCATCCCAGCGGGACAGGCACATCTCCCATGGGGCCAGCGGGTCCAATGGCCCTGGGATGGAGACAGGGGTCCCTGCAGGCTCAGCCAGGGACCTGCACGCCCCGACCGAGATTCCAATTTGTCGCTGCTTCCCCGAGCTACAGAGCTATCGCAGAGCCGGGGCACTCTCCCGGGAAGCTGCCGGCTGCCAGCGAAGCTGCCCCGACGGCCGGTGGAGCTGGCCGGGGCCGGGGAGGGGATGTCTGGGCAAGGACTGGGGCCGGAGAGCCCCCCAGGGGCCGGGGAGGCAGAAAGGACCCCCGGGGGTAGCTCAGCATCCCCCACTCCCTGCTGGAACCGGGGGTAAATCCACCCCTAAGGGGACCCTTTCCAGCTCCCCGGACTCTGCAGCCGTTTCTTACCCGACGGGGCGGGCAGCCGCGCTAGGGCGAGGGGCTTTGGCAGCGGGACTGCTGGGGGGGCTTAGCCCTCCGGCATGGGGCTCAGACCCGCGGCGTGGGCGGTGCACAGCCGGGACCCCCCCCCCCCCCGCCGCGCCGGGAGGAGGGAGCGGATGAGCAGGATGGGGGGCTGCGGAGGGGGCGGTGATTCGGGGAGAAAACGCGCCGGGGGT